TTTGAGACAACATGTGTTCCTAGAGTTTTCTGCAGTTTATGTAGTTTCTTCGAATTTAGAGAGAACCATTACTGATTCCATGAAATTCATCCATAAATCTTCCCAATCAATTAGTATCCTGGAGTTTAAGTCAAGAAAGTGATGCTGCTCAGCTCAGTCTTCGTTCCTTCCTTGTTCCTTCTTTCCTTCCTCCCTTCCTCTTTCCCTTCCTTTCTTTTGTTTCTTTGTAAATGTGTAAATGTGTGTGTTAGAGTCTGTGAACATACATGTGTTTGCAGGTGCCCATGCCTCTGAGCACACGGAGGCCTTTGTTAGATTATTTTCATCTAGAGTTAAAAACATTTCTTGGTTGCAGGACTTGTTTCATAGATTCTGGGATCTGAACTCTGTTCTTTATGATTGTGCATGCAGCAAGATCACCACCTTCCTAAAGGTATCTTTCTAAAAAAAAAAAAAAAATACCAAGCAGGTTGATGTAGCTCAGTTAGCAGAGTGCTTATCTACCATGTGTGAGGCCTGAGTTTGATTCCCAGCACTGTATAAAAACTTGGTGCTAGAACACACCTGTAATTCCAGCACTCAAGAGAAAGGCAGGAAACTCAGAAGTTCCTTGATACATAACAAGTTGGAGGCCATCCTGGGTTACGTGGGACCCTGTCTCAAAAAAAAAAAAAAAAAAATCCAAAGATGGTTTCAACTAGTATAAATAACCACATGGTTTTCCTAAACATTAAGCAAAATTTTCTTGTGAATCCCTGTCCTGTGCATGGCGTGGTAGTAGGTTCTGTTTGAGATATATATGTTAGTAGTGGCCTTTATATCAATTCTAAGCAAACTTACAAGTAATTTGGGGAAGTAAAGGATAAATGTTAAATAACTGAATGGAGTAGAATGTTCAGAAACAGCATACAATTTTAAATGCAATTAAAAATATTAGGCAGGTATGGTGGCACACCTTTAGTCCCAGCACTCAGGAGGTACAGGCAAGCAGATCTCCGAAAGAGCGAGGCCAGCCTGGTCAACATAGCGAGTGCCAGACCAGCTGGGGCTACAGGGAGACCCTGGCTCCAAAGAAAAAAAAAAAAAACACAAATATTAATTTAATAATGGTAGCACCACATTTGTTGGATTAGTCAGGAAAAAGTTTTATACAGGGAATTCATCTCATAGATCAATACAGTATTAAAAGTAGGAACAAAGATATTTTCAGTATGGGTAACCCTTCTCATAATGTTCTGAGTGAACGTACTTATATTCTCATGCTTTTCAAAATATTTATTTATTATTCTTATTTTATGTGTGTGAGTGTATTGCCTGCATATATGTAAATGCACCCATGTCATGCAATGCCTTGGAGGTCAGAAGAAGGCATCAAGTTCCCCAGGAACTGGAGTAATGACGGTTGTTAGCTCACATGTGGGTACTAGGATTCGAACCTGGGTTCTCTGCAAGAACAGTCAGTGCTCTTAACCACTGGACCATCTCTCCAGCCCCCTCATGTTTCCTTTGAAGAAAGAGAAATGGAAGGGAAAGAAAGGGGAAAGGAAGAACTCATTTTGATTATCTATCTCAAGTTCACAGCCCTTCCCTCAGAAGTATTTGCTGGAAAAGCCTCACTAGGAGCTAAAACTTGTAAGAACAATGCCAATTCATGATAAATGATATTTGTTACTTTTCTGTTGCTATGCTAAAACAACATGATGAAGACAACTTATAGAAGAAAGAGTTTATTTGGCTTATGGTTCCAGGGGGATAAGAGTCCATCACAGAATGGAGGCGTGGTAGGAGGCAGCTGGAACAGAAAGCTGAGAGCTCACATTGTCAATGAAGCACTGGAAGTAGAGAGAAAAACTAGAATTGGGATGAAGCTATGAACTCTCAAAACCCACCCCAACAGATGCTTCCTCCAGGAAGGCCTTGAAAGGATCCATGACCTTCCCAACCATACCATCAACTGACCAAGTGTTCAAATACTTGGAGTCTATGGGGGACGTTCTCATATAACCACTGTAATGATGATCAACTAATTAACACAATATAAAATGTATAGTGATGTCCAGATGTATTTCCTTATATGTACTTGTTATTCTTTACAGGAGGTAGAAGGCAGCTCATAAGACTCATGAAATAAATTTCACATGTATGTAAAAGCTGAAAATTACAAGATTCACAAGGAGCCCTCCCAAGGATTAAAGAAACAGTAAACTGCTGCAGGAAAAGACTGACCAGCAAAGTTGCAAGAGCTCTAGGGATGCAGCTTTCATGAGCTGTCACCCATGGTGGGTGGACTTTTGGGTGATGTAACGATTTTTGAGTCATTTATGCTGCTTTAAGTTACCCCTCACCCATATTCTTGTTAATAATCCCATTAAAAACTCATTGGTTCACCAAATTAGATTTTGATGTAATCATTAATTTGGTCTGTCGTGGGTTCTCTTTGTGCTGTGAGTAGGCATGTGTGTGTATTGGTCTCCCCAGGAAAAGTTTCATATACAACAGTACTCCCCAGAAAACTGAAGCAGATTAAGAAAGACATGTTATCATAATTTTACACAAAGAATTCTAAAGTCGGAAAAGTTCAATGATTTGCTTAAGATCACATCACATTTAAAAAACTTGAAAATTTGCTTGGGGGCTTTTCTTGTTCTTTCTATGAACATATACTGTGATTCAAGTACAGCTTTCTTAAAACTATTACAAACATATTTTTATTGGAGGAAGTGAGACTTCTCATTTTAATAGATTCTCATGTCAAAAATACATCTCCCTTCTCCTAAAATGTAGGACATTAGTAGTTAGAAACCTCTCAACTTACCCATTTTTGCATTGAATCCTGGATCTTGTGACAGTAGTCTAACAATTTCATTTGTTCATTCAAAACACTATTGCAATCAACTACAAAGAAATTAGTTTTTAAAAAATGGAATTTTATTTTTTAGAAATTTTATTTTGGGGGGGGGCAACTGGAGAGATGACTCAGCAGTTAAGAGCACTGGCTGCTCTCCCAGAGGGCCCAGGTTCCATTCCCAACACTCACATGGTAACTGACAACCATCCTTAACTCCAGTTCCATAATATCTGACAGCCTCTTCTGGCTTCCTCAGGCTCTGAACAACATGCGTGCACTTACATACATACAGGCAGAACACTCATGTACATAAAATAAAAACAAATTTAAAAATTAATTTTATGCTTCTGGAAAGCTTAGTTGTTAATTCTAGAAGCTTAACTGCTGCTTTCACACTTATCCAGCCTTTATCTCAAATTTTTGGTAGGTGTTCCATGGAAGAGATTCAGAGAATAATAACTAGTACGGTCCCTTGCCTAGGGTACCTAACATGTTCATTCTATGCCAAATCCATTAGAATGAATAAATGCCGAGATACTGCACCTTGAAATGTCTTTGATATAGTTGTCACTCCCCTTCCTCAGTCTACAGAAATTTAGACTTGAAAACAGAGTTTTGTGGGGTGTGGTGGCTCAGGGCTTTAGCCCAAAACCTGGGGAGGTAGAGGCAGGCAGATCTCTGAGATCCAGGCCAGTTTGGTCTCTATAGTCAGTTCCAGGCCATCTGTGGCTACAGGGAGACCCTGTCTCAAAAAGACAATACAAAACAAAACAAACAAAACAAACAAAACAAAACCACTACCACTGCCACCAACAAAACCAAAAACACCCCAACACCCCAGAGTCTTGTCCTCTGATTACTGAAATCTCTTTGCCCATTGTTTTCTTTATGAATGGTAGGAATTTGTCTCTGAGGCCTCAGGATTATTTTGGTTAATGTTTGGTTCATTCTTCCAATGGTAACATAGCTGATTGAAAGAAAAAGTAATTTGTTTAATTTTCTTATATTTTTCAATATATTTAATTTTAAAATAACTGTTATGATTTGCAAAGAGGACTTAAAGATTATGTTCTCTTTCCATAAGAACATAATTATGTTCTTTCTTAATCAATGGAAATGAATTGCTTAAATTTCATTCAAGTGGTTAAAAAGTAAATTTAAAAACTTAAAAACTGGATGTTTGTAGACATAGAAGAAATCACTCATTTTTTAAAAAAAAATATTTTATTTATTATTTTTTATTTTATGTGCATGAGTGTATTGTCTGCATGTAAGTGAATGCACCTGTGTTGTGCAATTCAGCAGAGGTCAGAAGAGGGTTTGAGATTCCCTTGGAACTGGAGTTAAGGACGGTTCATAGCCACCATGTGGGTGCTGGGAATCAAACCTGGGTCCTCTGAAAGAACAGTCAGTGTTCTTAACCACTGAGCCATCTCTCCAGCCCCAAAATCACTCATTTTAAAGATAAACTATTTCTAACATTAAAGTCAGTAATTTGTGTACAGAAATCATGGAAAAATAAATCAATATTTGAAATTAGGACATATATTATTCTATTCAATAAATGCTCCTTGATGAATGATCATTGAATGAGTCCCTTATCTTTAAACAGTATTTTTCAGTATATCAAATAGTGAAATTTTCAATAAGAACTCTGAGATCAATATAATGTAACTTACCGAAATTTATGAATGTGTATTATTGGACAGTATATGATTTTGGAAGATTTTTGTTATTCTAGATACCAACATGATGGAATACCATTTGAATTAATGAATTTTCACATACAAATTATTTCTGTTGTGTAAATACTGTGTTCTTTCCTCATTCTCACCGTTGGCTGGTCTATGGTCCTCAAATTCAGTGAAGAAAAGAGATAAGAAGTGGTTTATCATCATAAAGCATTTCTGTCATATACACATAGTACTAAGTAACCCTAAGGACATAGATATTAATTAATACAGTATACTTAATTAAGAAAGATGATTTTTTGGTATCTTTAATCTTTATTTTTAATGTAATTTATTTAATTGTAAACTGATAGACTTTAATTTCAAACAAGGACTCTGTTTAACAACCAATTTACAAGAGTCCTTGCTCCAAATCAGTAAAGAGAAAATATAAGCAGAGAAATTTGTATAAAAACATATCATCTGGTGATGACAATACTGTCCAGTTCTGTTACTGAAGGAAAGAGATGGATGCTTTTAGTACTGAAGAAAAAAAGCCATATTAATCTATTTCAAAGTATGCAAGACCCATTGCAAATTTCAAGAGAACTGTGTTCAACAAGACAGATTGCTAAGAACCCTTAAGGTTAAATTAATTCCATTCTAGTGTAGACAAGTCTTCACAGAAAGACCCTTATGATATCTGGGAACAGGCACCTGGCAAAGTGACATTTCAAGTTTGGTCTATAAGTTCATAAATGATTTAATAGATCTGAGTCTCAGGCTTCTATCTGGAGAAGGAACATAAGTAATTATTTAATGCTGGCTATAAAGGTAGAATAAACTTTTTCATGAAAAATGGATGATGTTATTATTGTGGATTTTTTGACAATCCTCATGTTTCACTTGAGGTGGAGTCTCATGGGAAGCACAGAAATGAACACAGTGAAATTCACCTTCTACAAAACTCATAGTAAATGAAATTGATATATCCCCCATGATTATGAAGCAATCTTTTGGTAATCCCACGTCACAAAATCCTACTCAATGTAAAGACCAGTCTAGTAGGCAACTTTAACCTCACAGTAGTAAAGCACAGTCTGTATAATGGTCGCATACTCAAGGGCACCTCTTCCAGGACATGCAATGAGCCTGGCATCATTTACAACATTGAATCTGATTATCTACTATGATATCCCCAATTATACATAGTAAACTACAAGCTTACCAAATAATAAACAGTAGGTATTCAAAGACATCTTGAAGTCATAAAAACCCCTTAAATGATACTGATGAAAAATGTCATTGTTAATTGCTTCCAAACATAAGATGTTAAAAATTGCCTAAGTGCAGATTCTGTAAGTGATAATTTAAATACCAAGTCCATTGGAATCTTAACTATCCTCAACATTTATTCTTTCCTTTGTCCCTTGTAGTGAAGATTCTAGCTTGTGTCAGAGCTCAAGGATACCTAGTTTAAATATGTTTCTTTTTCCTTTTTTGTCACCAGATAGGCCATGTCACTGGCTTACACTGAAGGAAAGTGAAGTCATCTTAGGTGGAAGCATTGTGAATCACCCTTTAAAGGATGCTGCATATAACACAGCATCCTTTAAACACAGAAAAAGGTTTCTTTTTTTTTCCATCGGTTATTCTATTTTTTTGTGAGGCATTCAAAAACTATTTTGGGGGTTGGGTTAGCTCTATTTATAGAGTGCTTATCTAGCATGTGCAAGGACCTGTTTGGATCCCCAGAATCACATACATCAGGCTCTGTGGTGCATGCCTGTAATTCTAGTAATTAAGAAGTAGATGCTGATAGCCACATGGAAACAGTTTTCCAGACAGCTGGAAAATTATTCATATGAATATACAGCAAGGGTAACAGCACACATAACACCCATTTAAGCTCAAAGCAGATGAAATCCCAGCATAGAAGAGGGGAATGGGTAAGAAGCCCCAACCTTAGCAGAGGAACTACTGACGACCAATAACTAATGGGAAAGGGAGTGTTGGCTTTCTGTAAGTATGTGATACTAGATAGGTTAATCAGGCTCTAGTGGATGGATGCACACTTAAGGACATTTGGGGACACAAACTTGGCTCTACAGGCCTTAAAGTATGTGACAAAGTATATGAAAACTGGTGGGGGTATATAAAAGGGATAGGATCTAAATATGATCAAAATACATTGTATAAAACTCACAAAAAATTCAATTAATTTTTTAAAAAAGAAGTAGATGCATGTGGATCAGAAGTTTAAGGCCAGCCTGGGTTATGTGTGAACCTGTCTCAAAAAACAAAAACAAAAAAAAACTCTCCCCAAAATTCCCCAAAATAAATAACAAAAATCATCATCTTGAGTCAGAAAACAGTGTTGTACCCCAGGGATGTTACAAAGAGCTGGAAGCAGACTGACTGTTTGGATAAGCAAAGCTGATATTCCAATTCCAAAGAACTTCTTTAGAAAGCTCTGTGTTGTGGTTTGAATGAGCCGTGGGCTCATGTGTTTAAAACTTAGTCCCCAGCTGTTCTGCTCATTCTCTGCCTCCTGATGCAGATGCAACGACCAGTGGCCTCTTCATTTGCTCTGCCATGGCTTCCTTGCTGAAATAGACTGTACCCTGGAACTCTGAGCCAAAATAAACCTTTCCTTAAGTTGCTTTTGCCAGGTCACAACAATGAGTAAGTAACAAATACATCCTCTAATTAAAGCAGCTCTGATTTAAACTGATGATTACAATGTTACTTTTGTTTATTTACAAAAATTCTATGTCCATTTTAATATTTTAAGACAAGTATTAATTTTCACTTTTTAAAAAGATGCATATTTCACAAGAGTCATTTTTATGATATATTATTCTGCTGTGTAAGTTGCTAATAATTAATTTTTTATTTGATCTGAGAACATAAATTTCCCAAGTATGGCATGATTTCAGTAAAGATATTTAGTATATGTTTTATGATCTAGATATTAAGTATCTCACCTCCCCCCAACACAATCACAAACTCCTGTGTTGAAGGCCTGCCTGGTTCTCATCTAGGAGAGGTATTGAAGGACAGTTGAAGGCAATCACTCCATCACTGGATTGATAAGTCCAGTACTGAGTTATTACTCAACAGACTTCTAGGAAAGAAACTTCTAGGAAGCTGGTTAGAGGAAATAAGTCACTTACAGAAGTGCCTTTGAATTGTAGACCTTGTCCCTGGCCCATTCCTGTATCTTTCTCTACTTTCTGGCTGTGATGAGGTAGGCAACTTTCCTAGGCCATGCTTTTATTCTATATTTCAATCTTGTTACGGAGCTAAAAGCAATGGACTTATGTTATGAACTAAAAGCTCTGTAAGTTTGAGCCAAAATAAACCTTCTCTCCTTTGAAGTTATTATCTCAGCCCTTTTGCATAATAGAGAAAAGCTGCCTGACCTGTTACTCCATTCACACAAGGTGGATAGGTTAAAAATGCAATGAAAGACATACTTATGAAAGACATACAATTTAGGATAAAATTAAAATCATGAAATACATTATATCACTTGTATCAAATCAAAGAAATAAAATTTGACTTCTCATTTAAAGCCTTAGTCAGTGATGGAATTAAAACATGATGGTGAATGAATGCACAAAGAAGATATTTTTTAAATGTTCAGTCTTGGCCATTGCGGGTGGCATTTATTTGTAAATGAAGAAAATGAAAACCAAAAAGGAAAAGAGCACTGTGCTGTTCATGGTTTAGTACATGGGGCTTACAGAAGTAAAAGCTTTTCAGTTTTTTTCCCCTTGACATTTTATAGCTACTACTGAGTAGGTGTATAGAAAAAGCATCTCTCCAGTTGATATTTTCTGGCTACCTCCTGTGAAATTAGCAAAATCTCTGTTAGGACAGGGTGGCACCTCCATCTGTCATCCTCCTTCATAAAATAAAACCTCAAAGACAGGATCATGGTGTCTGAACATGCTTCTGGTATTTGTGTATATTATCCAGAAGGAACTTGTACAAAGAGTATCTGAATGTTCTTAAATTTTTAGGAAAAATACATCATCTTATGACTATTTCTTAATAGCCTCAAAAAGAAAAAGTCATTTCTTTCTTTCTTCTCAGCCAAAGTCCCCTAATATACGTGGTTATAAAAACTTGGTGAGTTTTAAAATACACTAAAGGTGGAAATTCTCATTCATACAACAAATATCAATTTCCTCACTGCATTTACTTGTCAAAGGTAGTGAATAAAATCCAAACATCAACATAGTGTGATCTTGAGACCAAAAGGAAGCAGCAATATGAATCCCTGAGCTTCCTGCTGCCTAGCCCTGCTTTTATTCAGGACTCTACTGCATGTTTTATGAGCAAGGAATAAACATTTGAAATGGTGTGACGCTGAAGTTTGCAGATCTTTTGTCATTGGAGCACGGCCTACTTTACTCTAACCAGGTGGCATCCATACTGCTCTATCACAGCTAAAGCAACACTTGTGGCCCATGCATTTCCTTCCTTGAGTGAATATCTATAAAGAAGAGTTAACAAAAGGGACAAGAAGAAAGAGGGTATGGTGCAGTGGAGTTTATAGATGTTAGTAAAATTCGAAAAAAAAAAACAAAAAACGTAATGGACTCCAAATATCCACATACTTTAAAAAATTATATTGTTTGCAAGTAGTTTTTCTTTCTTGTCCTTTCCAACTTCGTGAAAATGTAAGATGCATTGTTGTCAGGGAAAATGCCTTCCCTGGCCTAAGGAAGTAGCTGGCTGACATCTCAGCTCTGACATTGCTTGTATTGCTTTGTTCCCTACTACCCTGTTTGGAGAGGGGGGGGGATGCAAATCACTGCATTCCTTTCTACTTGCAATTCATTATTATGTGACATACCCTAAGTTAGATAGTGAACAAAAAGATAAGATTTTCCCCAGATATTTAGAAGACCCAATGATCCAGGATTCTATGGTATTAAGGAGTGAAATTTCATTTTCAAAGCTACTAATAAGTTAAAACAGCTGTGAAATAAGAAGGTGTTAAAAAAATTGCCACCTAACAGGCTTATCATAAAATGGCCATTTGGAGAGTTTTGAGTAATTCTACTTCATTAGATAAAATTTTCTCATATAGAGTACTTCCTGTTAAAAACAGCATTAAACTAGCATGATTCCTTATGATAACTAGCCATAAAGACTTTAAAGATTGTTATCAGTAAGAAAAACAGCACTTCAATTTTGAAGGGTATCCTTGGGCGTACTGGCATCCTCACTGTGCTGAAGTAGTGCCACAGCTCTGACCAGTCCAAGGATTTTCTGCACTGCGCTTTTGGCTTCTCCCATGGTAGCTCAGCCCTGCAATCTGTTCAGTTTTCCAGTCCTGCTGCTTTCTGTGCGTCTATTATTTTAGAGACTGTTAGTGGGTCCTTAGGGTGTTGTCAACATACTGATGACTGCAAGCATGCTCAGTCTTTGATGTGCTATTTATCACAATGCCATTTATAATTTGGTGGTTTTTTCCTAATGAACTGGGTCACACTTGCTGTTCATCACTTTGTAGTTTGCTGTTCCTCCATTAGGAG